TGCAGTGCCGCTTTGGATCTCGCCATCCGCCCTCTCCTGTCAAAGTGCTGCTTGGACTTCTTTTTGGCGTCAGCTCACGTCTGGTGATTCGGAGCCATTCCAGGCCGGATCAAGTCTCTTATTCCCAAAGGAATCGCATGCTGCGCAGGCAAAAGAAGAACTTTGCTCGACCTACAGGCCACGCTCCGCGTGCAGGAAAGCAGCTGTACTTCTTACTATCCCCAGCGGATCCTCAGGTGGATTTGACACCTGGACGAAGCCAACGATGTACACGTTCGAGGGGTGAGATGAAGAAGTCACGGAATTGTCAAGAACTTCTTGACAGGTTTTTCAAAGCACAGGAAAAAGACATGGTGGATGCCAGTGTAGTAGGTGCTGCAATGCAGAGGTGCGGGCAGGGCCGCTGGTGGAACACATTGCTCAAGATATGGGAAGTCCAACAGAAGAGTGGGCTTGTTCTGCACTGCATTGAGCACAACTTGCTTCTACATGCCCTTGCATCCTGTCTAAAGTGCAAGAAATGCACGGATCTGCACATGAATGTGAGAAAAGAGAAAGCAATTCAATTGGCCAAGACTGTCTGGGGGTCCCCGTTGCCGACAACATCCCGTGATTTCGATTGTGCACTGAGCAGTGCCTTGAAAGTGTGTCTTCGTGTTGGAAGCACAAAGGCTTTCAGGTGGGCAGACGAGTTGTGGGAGTGGTCTGAACGACAGATGTTTCAGAAAACTGTTGTTACCTATGGTGCCAGACTGTCTGTGTGTGAGCTCCAAGGACGACATCGTGACGTGGATGACTTGTTCCAGCAGTGCACGAAGCAACACGTTGAACTTGATAGTGTTCTCCTGGGAGACCTTGTTGAGTGTGCAGCCAGTTTGCTGGACATCAAACGAGCAGATTTTCTGTGGGAGACTCTGACGGTTCACTACCACGTGCAACCAAACTTCCTTACGTACAGCGTCTACGCAAAAGCTCACATGCTAGCAGGACAACCTCAATCAGCTGTCAAAATTATTGACGACATGCTAGGTGCACGGCAAGGCCCCATGGACTACAAACTGGCCATTGACTATTTGCAAGCTCTGCTTTTGGTGGCTCACTCGTCCCTGTCACCCTGCGACTTGAAACGCATTCGCAAGTTCTTACCGGAAGGCGCAGGTGTCGTAAACGGAAAATCTGCCAGATCTGGGAAACAAAATTGGAGATCATTGCGAGCAGTGTCTCTTCAACTCCTTTCTGATCCTCAAAAACCTTGTTTCAAGGACTTGCTGGTGACCAAAATTGCAAAGGATAGCGTAATGACAGGATGGGTAGACCACCTGGCAGGCACCAGCTATTTGGAGTGAGCACTCGCACTCGAAAGTCACAAGATGCACTGCTCTCTGTGAACGAAGACGACGAAGGTGCCACCTGCTTCCGGCATCCAAAAATGAAGCCTCGCGCGCGGCAGTTCTGGACGAAGATTCACCGCGCGGCACCGCTGCCTTTGAATCCGAATCGGAGGCTTCACTCAACGTGGTTGGAAGAGTCCGACCGGCCCAGGTGGTTGGAAGAGTCCGAGGACGAGGATGACGACGACGATTCAGACAGTGACGATTAGGAGCGGGTGGAGTGTCCGGAAGATGTGGTTCACACCACAAAAACGTAAGCGCAACTTGTTTGGCCATGTGGGGGATCTGGGGTGTTTATTTTTCCTTCATTGGCAAGCCTGTGTTTGGTTACTTGACTAATCCCTTTTAAATGCATAGTAGCGGTAACGGTGATATTTCTGCCTCAGGTAGCACCCTGCAACGTTAAACGGTGGTGTTGGCCCTTTTTGATAATTAAGCTGACTGAACTCATCGCTCAGGTTTTCCCTACTAAGTCCTTGCTGAAATGTTGAAAGACATTGAGGATTCGTGTTTGAAAGACAGACGTCACTCGAACAAATCACGGTTCACCTGACCTGAACATCGGCAGGACTGAGCGAGGCACACGCGCGCCCGACCGGCTGAGCGAGAAAACTATCTTTTTTCTTTCTCTCGAAGGTGTTGCGTCAAAGGTCTCATGTGTTCGGCTTCTGGAACGTTTGACGAAAAAAAGAAGGTGGGTGCAGGGATCAGCAGGTATTGGCTGGGTGCATGTGGGCTTGTTTGATTGTCAAACAGTCGACTGCAACCTGAGAGCAATGGCCTCCAAGTAAGATTCAGAAGTAAACAACTAGCTATTGCCATTAAATTAGATTAACCCAATAGCAATGGCCTCCAACCTAATAGCGGTGGCCTCCAACCGCACAGATCTTTTCCTTGCCAGGCGCAATCCGATGATAAGTCGCCGTTGCCTGAGATCCATCCTACAGCCATCGTACAGAGCGCTTTGCGCACGGACTCAACTCGAGAAAACAGGAACACTGCTGCGCTCCCTCAGCCGGGATAGAAGGGAGAAATTCTGGTGAGGTGAAAAGCTAAGACTGAAGCCTGCACCACTTTGTGTTTGAAAGGATCACATCAGTAGGTGCTTACGGCGAACAGGGGGAAGTAGACGCACATCTTTCCGCTCCAAGATGTTCTTCTACCGTGGAGTACTTCGTCCTTTCCTCTAACCTAATAGCGATGGCCTCCAACCCACCAGCAATGGCCTTGAGCCCACTAACGATGGCCTCCAACCTCCTAGCAATGGCCTCCAACCTACTAGCGATGGTCTCCAACTTACTAGGGATGCCGTGGAGCACATCTTCCTTTCTCTTCTTCTCTGCGCCTCGCAGGTGTCAACGGTGCTTTGGATTCTGCTGGTCTTATTCATCTTAGCAGTCCTGACTTTCGTGTGGGTACCTAGCGAGTGCAAACAAGAACTGTTCGGTGTAGAAACCAAGAGCTATCCGACAAGACAGTGAACATCTTGACAAATCAAACTGGGCTGGAGCATGCTTTTGATGCCCTTGTGTGTCAATTGCGTGTGACATTGTTGAGAGTAAATGCACCTGAACAAGATATTCCAGGCTTCCATTCTTGCATTCTCAAAACGACAGGGCTGCACCTTGGCCAAGGGACCGAGTCTTTGCGCTAGACGGACCCCCCCACGAGTCGACTTGGTGTGGAGCATCTGCCAAGTGAAAGCATGTGCTCGCAGGTCTTTCAGAAGATCTCCTGCCTTCCCAAATGCAAGCGCTACTTGGTGGCAGAGACTGGATGTTTTTTTCCTGACATCAAGCTGTCAAGATACAGGAATTTTGTGAAATACCTTGGAAATTGCATGACAATCATGAGCACCTTGTGGAGACATTTCTTTCACACTCGACATTTCCCATATTGCGTCCTCAGGCTTTTTCTTCCGATTGGAGGACAGGGCTGTGAGGAAAACGGCTGTCACGTGTTAGAGCTGCTCGAAAACCTTCATTCCCATTTGTTGCAAAGACAGTGCAAAGACAAACAAAGGGAGAGAAGGTAATGTCTCGCAGGCACTCAACGTCTCTAGTCGTAGAGGCAGCCTTTCTCGTCTTCTGAAGACCAATGCGAAACAAGAGACTAGTGAAGCTCAAGCCGCTCAAGCAAGCGACGTAAGCGACTTGACTTTGGACCCTCAACATGCGATCCGCTTGCAAAGTCGTTGGTCGTTGCCAGATGAAAAAAAGCCAACGAACCGCAAACGACCGCAAACCCGAGATGATACAACCAACTTCTTCATCCTTGCAGACGACAAATCATGTTGACCTTTGATTTATAAACGACCCTAGAATAATGTCACTTTTTTTCCTGCACAGATTTATAAAGGCCCCTAGAATAATGTTTTTTTTTTTTTTTTGGGAGGGGTAGTTGTTGAGGGGGGGGGGGGGAGTTTATAAATCAAGGGTCAACATTAAGCAAGCTTCTCTTCCAGCGTGGTCACGGATTTCCAAACGGCGCGAGAACCGGGGATTTCCAAACGGCGCGACTTGGAGCCCAGGAGGTCGGGAGGCTCCTGAAACCGTCCGATCCCCTTCCCGAGGGAACGTGCTTTCCACATGGCAGGAAGTCCTTTTGCCCAAGAGGCCGCACCAGGTGCGGTGCGGATCCTCAGATGACGCACTTGTCAGTGGCACTTGTGACTTTTCAACAGAAACAGACTTACTAGCAAAAGGAACCTCATAGCGAAAGGAACCTCATAGCGATGGCCTCCAACCTGGACTTTTCAACAGAACCCACTTTCCGTTTCATGCAGTTCCAAATTGTGGATGGTCTCCACAGCTTATCAGCCAATGTTCTTTTTGAACATCAACCGACGTGGTGGAGTGCTTCTTCGATTAGGGCGAGTGCTCGTTGCCGCAACAACTGCATTGGACTCGACTGCTGACGTGCTGCTCGACTGATGCTCGACGATGCTGAGGCAACCCGTTCTGAAGCCAGCATGGTGATTGGGACAGTCAAAGCTTTCAAACTCTTAATGGAGGACCGGTGAGAAACAGAAGCCACCAAGAAAGCCCGCACTCCTTTTCATTGTCAGAGCCACAATCCACAAAGCGGAAATCTGATCAGCAGCGGAGTACAGTGCGTGCACGCTTGATGCCGATGAGAATGTCATGTTCTTGGATACGAGAAGAGCTGGGAGAAAAACAAGACGTTGATGATTTCGATAACACATATACTAGGAGCAATTTTCGCAACTAGGGGCTCCTGGCATCGCTACTAGGAGCAAGGACGCTACTAGGGGCTCCTGGCCGTACTACTAGGAGCAAGGAGGCTACTAGGAACAAAGAAGCACTCCAAGGTGGACAAAGATGTCCTGGACACAGGAGTTTGCTACCCAAAGTGCTGAAGTTCATCCCTGCAGCAGTTCTTTCTCTTCAGGTTGTGGTGCTTCAAGTGAACTGGTGCAAAGGAGCATGTTTGCCGTCAAGCCAGACAGACATGCTTAGGACCTAGGAGGACAGACGTGACCATGAGCAGGTCCATAGGAATGCTCCCAAAACTGCCCAAAGAATAGTCATGTGAAACAGAGCTCAGCATAGCAGCCATGTTCCCCAATTAGAGCTTTTTCCTCGCCCAATGGCGGGCAATGCGAACCCTGGTATTTTTGACGCTTGGCAGTTGCAGAACTGCCGTTTCGTCGGTCCGAGAGACGTCTTGGGAGTGCACGTCGGCTCGTGCACTTGCCAGGGTTACCTGGTTGTATCATGTATGTGACAGTGCACTTGGGTGTGTTTTTCAGCAAGAGCTTCCTGTGTATCTGCGACCTAGCTAGCTGTTCGGTGGCAGATCGTCTAGCGGTCGAGCGTCTTTCGGACGCGATTCTCGGTTGCGCCGAAGCTAAAAATGAAGAAACACTTGTGGTGCCGAAGCTAGCGCCGAGGCCACTTTTTTTCCCCAATCCGCTTCAAAAGACAAACACACACACACACACATCCGTATCCAAACGTATCAACAAACGTATCTAAACAAGACACACACGTATCTAAAGATCCAACACACACACACACACAAAACAAACGTATCTTTCAACAACATCCAAGACATCCACACCTCAGAAATTCTGCAGTTTACGGCCACACCTCAGTGCCGTGCGTCTCTTTATTTAGATTTGTTGCATGAGTACAATTTGGTTGCTTTCTTATAAATATATGTTTTGACCGCCTTGGCTCCCCCAAGCAAAGCGACACCCAGCCAGCAGCAACAAAGCAACAGTGTAAGCAACACTGAGTAACAAGTGCACTCGGACGTGGTCACTTGTCGTTTGGCAAGTAGCGGTGTGTTGAACGAAACGGTAGCAAAAGCCCAAGGAAGAGCCCTTGAAATAAAGGACACCCCTCAGAGCAGTGTATGAGACCCGAACCCGTCCAATTTGCCAAGGAACCCGTCCAGCAGAATGAAGAGGCGACGGTCATAGGCCACTGGTCAGTTTTGTCAATGGCATGATGGCATTTTGGGGACTTGTTGGCAGGGAGTTTTTATCTCAACTCTTCTTAGCTTGGAAGAGGTTTGTTGAATGCAAGCAGTCTGTCAAAAATGAAGTGGACATTTCATTGCAGACCTTGCACGAACTTGAAAGGGCTAATTAAGGGGTCATGACAGCTTCATCAGTGTCAACTCAGCCTGCTTTCATCCTGGCCAAAGGGTTGACTGTAAGGATTTGGGCTCCAGTGGTTTGCTCTGGGTCTCCACCCTGAGCAGTTGAGGTGCCAAGATGATGGATGCAGTGGATATCCAGGAGGCTGGAGTCAAGACACACATTTTCAGGAGACGAACATAGGATGCTGAGAATTCATGAGATTTCACCGCTTTTCTTTCAGACAAGCCAGCACCGTGGTATCGCACGGTGCTTGGTGCTTTGCTCCTCGCGTGAGCACCGTGGGCTGCGGCTGAGGTGAAGGAGGCGACACCGGACGAGGTCGCCTCACCGGTCGACCAGGCGAGCCGAATCTCGCTCTCGCAGCTCCGCCCTGTCGCCACTGTCGATCTCTTCGTGGACAGTGCCGGTTGCAACCGTTCGTGGTACGTGGTTTCCACGCTGAAGACATGTGGTGATAGGAATTGACACGGAAAAACACTGTGATAGGAATTGGGAACAGCTGGCACAGCTCACCGTTTTCTAGACTGAAAGAATTCCTTCATGAGCATTTTGTGTCAGCTTTTCCCCTGTGAGACCGACTTGCCACTGCGAACTGTGGCTCTCAGCGTGCTTTTCTATGCAGCTTGCTGGTCAACCTTGTTACTCATCAACAAGGTGCTTGGCTGAATGCTTGGTGACTGTGCGGATGGCAAGCTTTTTGACATAAGAATTTGATTGCATGTTCGAACAATCTTCTGCAGTTTCGGGTGCATGAATCTACAGCTCGTGGAGTAGAATCAGTGTGGGGCACAAATTCCTTGTGCTCGCAGCCTGTTTTGCCCTGCATTTCAGGTTGTTCCTCTAGCTCAAAAATATGACGTCGTGCTCACCCATCCCACTTGTGCTATATAAGCCATGGACTCCGTAACCCCAGGTGGCCATGCACTTCGTGCCCGATGCCTCCTTCATCCTCTTCTGTCAGTTTCTGAGCTCCTCCCTCACTGTGACCTGTCCGCAGTGGGAACCTCTGAACCCAAAGAGGTGTCTATTTTGCCTGGCCAGAGCCTCTAAAGCTTTGGCCAATGCATTGGTGATTTCACAGGCACCAGCACAAACACGTTTGATGTTGGAGGATTGAGTCAGTTCCTATTACACGCATTTTCTTCTTCTTTCTCTTGCCAAAGCTGGTTTGCTTCCACGCAGGAACATGGACAACCGGTCAACCCAAAAGGTGGGCTCTGAGGATGCAAGACCCCAAAGTAAAGCACGGTCTGGCCAATGACAAACCACTGGGTGCCAAAGCCTTTGATCCACAAGATCACACAACAAAAAGACCATGCCAAGCGAGCCAGGTGCGGGTGATCAAGTGCACCACGCCAGATGCGGACATCGAGCTACTCCGTCACTTGGACGAAACAGAGGGTCAGAGCCGGCGGTGGGATCACGGATTTCATCAAGGTTGAGCTGGGCTGGCTGGGCCCCGCACAGAACGAATAGTTTAAGAAAGTCCTGGATTGCTTTAGTCGGTAAAAGCAGTGCCAGATCACCAAGATTAGGCCATTGAGCCGGTGTGTTTATTATTCGTTTTTGTTTTTGCATCCACCGAACACATATGATTCTGGTGCGCAGGATTGTTTTGCCAAAAACCGAGGCTTCGACAAAGTACGGATCTTTTTTGTGGCGTGCCTCATTTTCTTCTTGTGTTTTCTCGCCCGGGCGCCCAAAGAGACAGCGGAGGCTGAGAAAGTGATTGACAGCCGAAGTTCGTGCCAAGTTCCTAATTTTCTTCGTCCTGAGTCAACAGATACTGGAGCGGCTGAACTTCATTTTTTCCTTGTAAGTCCCGTGGGCTGCTGATTTGCTGTTTCTGAAGTTAACCTTGGGCCCCTTGTACTTGTATGGAGGTATTGATGCTTGTATGAAGAGCCTTTGAGTGGGATCAACTTCGATGTTTCAATAAGTTTCATATGAACTGCTGATCACAACGAGACTGTCTTGAGTTGAGACTATAAACACCTGACCTTGGCCACAAAAGTGACCAATATAGAACCGGAAGCTCCCAGATCTATCCCAGATCTATCCACTCTCATTCGACAATTGTGCCTGTGTTGATTGTACTCGGAAGATTATTGGGGCTTGAAGAGAAGCATAAGGATCATAAGGTGGTATGCCCCAAACCCGTTGAATCGTTATTCTTCTTGTTGACAATCCTGGGGTCTATGTTCTTTTGCAGTTTCTTTGTGTTTGTCGGACGTTGCCGCATAGGCCAATACGGCGGCCATGAAGTCTGTGAATGAAGAGACCATGATAGTCGCACGTGGGGACCTCAGGTTGTGCTCGCATTTGCGAGGGGCTGAAGGGGGATGGCTTGAACTTGGGATGCCGCGGCCAGAACTTGAAGTAGAATGTAGAAGAAATCTGATGAGCCATGTCAACACGTAGGGAATCCTGGTGCTTGTGGAGGATTCCATGCTTTTGAAGTTGGGTCATTTGCTGTGTGGACTTCAAAACCAATCGAGGCTCCTGTGCTCCAATTGCCGTGACTCGACTGCGATACCTCAAAGCAAACGCCTTCAAGAGGCCTTCAGGAAACAGAGAGGAGGCTAGCAGCTAGTGAGTAAGTGAGTACCCCGCTTGAAGAGATCTTGGAGAAATTGTCCAAACCCCGTCTTGTCTAGTAGCGTCCTTGCTCCTAGTAGTAAGGCCAGGAGCCCCTAGTAGCTTCTTGTTACTAGTAGCGATGCCAGCAATGCAAGGAATTTTCGAGAACTCGTGTGTGATTTGTACTGACTTGTTGACTCGTGTGTTGACTCATGGCATTGGATATCCGTCCTGAGCGAGTGAGGTTTGCATTTTGGAGCACTTTGCCTTAGGGCGAAGCTTACCATCTTTTCAAGGCACCATGGCCCTCTTAGCACCTTGGCGTCATGGGGGGCCATCGCTAGTAGGTTGGAGGTCATCGCTACTAGTGAATCAATGGATCTACATAAGTGGTTGGAGCGGCAGAGGAGCGGGGCGCGTGGCTAGCGCGCTGTGTCGAGGCGATCCCCGGCGGAGCGGTGCTCTATGTCGTCTCCGGTGAAGGCTTCAAGATTGAAGGCGGTACGTGGCTTCTGGCCTACTTTGCTGCTCGGCGAACGTGGCATTCGTTTAATCTCGCTGAACGGACGAAACGCCCCAAAAGGATGGGTTTGCCTCGGGTTTGCGATGGGTTTTGCAATGGTTTGCTAGACTGACTTGGCATGACTTGGATGCAAGGCCTTCATAGTCACCGAGATTGTTTTTGTGAAGTTCGTGCTTGACACTGTGCCCGTGTCCACATGGACATGCGTCTACTATTACAACACATTGCAGCTCGGCACACCAAGTGGCTCCAGGCAAGAACTATAGAAAAGGTTATTATATATTTGCTTCAATTCGGATCGAGGAAGGTGAGATTTTCATGTTCAGTCATGCCACTTCATGCCATGATCCTGTTGCCATTTAACCTCCAATGCACTAGAAGGGTGGGCACATGACGTCATTCGACGCCTTTGGAGAAACAGGCTGCTTCGAGTGCAAGCGTTTAGATCCAGGGGCCAGGCTCCGTTGTCGAGCCGACAATCGCATTGGTAGCGCGGCAAAGGTTAGCGCCGCTGCGCTCGACGCTGCCTGATGGACTTCGAAGACTTCGATGAGCTCTACGAGGCCTTCGATGCTGATGGCGCGGACGAGAATGGAGACGCTGCCTTCGATGGCGCGATCCCAGCTGACCACATGGAGGAGGATGATGATGACAACCAGGTCTATGACTTCGACGATGACCTGGTGACTGGACCTGCACGGCCGTTGGGACCTAACGGAAGCCCTTCCTCTTCAGCAGCTCCTTCAAGGAGAAGAGGATCTAGAGGCTCACGATCTTCACAACATGGCCAATCCGGTCCAAGCTCTCGCAAGTGGCGATCAGGCCACATCCCTGCCCCGCCGACCTTTGCGGGGAACGTGGAGGACGAGCCCTACTGCTTGCGACATTACCGTCGCGCCCTGCGACGGTGGACGACAATTACAAGAGAGTTTTTGCCGGCCAACGAACAGGCCCTGAGAGCGCTCGACGCGCTCACTGGCGAGGCCGCCTTGGAGCTCGAGGAGGTGGACGATGAGCGCTACAACACGGACACCGGGATTCAGCAGCTCCTCGATGATCTTGAGATCAGCTTCGGCGAGCGCGAGCTGTTTCGACGCGGAGGACTGATCCGCGAGTACGAATCCCTGACAAGGGTCCAGGGAGAGTCGGTCTGCGCTTTCCTTCGAAGGTTCAGACTCTATGAGCGGAAGCTCAAAGACGCCCAGGTCCCGCCCTATCCGGACGAGACTCGAGCGGTCAAGCTGCTCGATGGCCTACGCCTCGACGAACGAGTCACTTCGCAACTGCTCTTAGCTGCAGGCAATCGCTACAGCTTTCAAGCATTGGTTGAGGCGATCCACATCCAATATCCAGCAGGGCTGACGTTGACGGGGATGTCACGACATCCAGTCCCTGTCCACGTCGCTTCAGCTCCACGACATCGAGGCCGAGGACACCAACCCCGAGGCCGAGGAAGAGGCGGAAGTTTCCGCTGGAAGACATGGCACACTGAGGCCATGCTCGCAGATGACGATCCAGTTGAGGAGGTCTTCATGACTGCCGGTGATGAAGTCCAGCAGTATGAGGACGACCCGAACGACGACACCTTCGATTACCAGTTCGCGGACTATGATGAGCAGGCTGAAGATGCAGCCGCAGTCGAGGAGTTCGAGCCCGATGAACTCCCTGAGTATGAGGCCGGTGATGACGCCGGCGATGAACACCAGGCCATGACGGCCACGAGCAAGCGCCTGGCTGCAACCATGCAGTCAAGGGGCTACTACACCACCGCCAAAGACAAAGGCAAGGGCAAAGGCCATGGGAAAGGCGCTGGCAAGGACAAGGGCTTTGGCAAGAAGGGAACTACATCCTCTTCTTCGCCTACGACCACTTCCAAAGGAAAAGGGTCCGGCAAGTCCAAAGCCGGTTCAAAGGGTGGGAAGTCCAAAATGAACCCCACTCAAAGGCAGCGCATGCAGGCCAGCCTTTGTTTGGGCTGCGGAGCCTCAGACCACTGGCTTCGAGAATGCCCACATGTCACACAGCACCAAGCCCATGTGTGCTCAGCTTCATCAACCTTGGACGGAGACGGCGCGGTGGTTTGGGTGACAAGCCACAACAAGATGCCAGGTTGGCAGCCGGAATCACCTCCTTCATCTTCGGCACCTTCGACCTTGAGCCGCCGAGATGAGGAAGAGCCACCGCCGCCGCCTCCAAGGCGGGAACTGCCGGCAGAGGACGCTCTGCCACCTTGGGATGTTTTGATCCCTGAGGGCATGAACCCGGACGACCATGCCGACTACGAGGACGACATGGCCTTTTGGAGGCAGGAGGCTGCAAGTCTCCATACGCTCATGGATGAGAATGGCAACATCCCTGGCATGAGAGAGCTTCCAACTTCACCAGCGAGCTCTTTTCGAACGGCTCCTGGCACTATAGAGACTGACTTCGCTTCTTGTGCGCCAAGTCGGGCGCCAAGTGAATTTCAAGACGCCATGAGCGAAGCTCAGGGCAGCGATGTTTTTGAGGTTTTCGGTGTTTTTGGCTCACCCCCTCTTTCTAGCATAGCAGCTTCATCTCATGATTTTCCACGTCATGTTCATGGGGGAGAGGACCCAAGGACCTCAAGAATACAACAATGGGGTGAGGACCCAAGGACCTCAAGAGTAGAACAACAATGGGGTGAGGACCCAAGGACCTCAAGAGAAGAACAACAACGGGGCGAGGACCCAAGAACCTCAAGAGACATAGGCTGTCCATCTCTGACCCTTGAGGGTTACCCATTTCTAGCCGCCCAGCCGGCTCCCGTGGCATTGCCACCACCTTCGCCCTGGACGCGAGCCATGGCCTTCGACGGCTTGGCAGCCGACGATGAGAGTGGAAGGCCAGCTCGGCCATTGAACGAGCATCCTATGGTGAGGATGCGCCATGCCTCAGGTGCAGCCAGCACTTCTGCCTTGGCTGGTGGCTACCGGACCGAGACCTACTACCGGGTCCAAATGGTCTATGCCTCACGAACGACACGACCGCCTTCCTTGCTGCGGTCGGTTCCTGAGGAAGATGCTGATGGAAAGCCGCGTGATCATTTGTTTCGTGCACCACCAATCACCAACATGATGCAGTACACGGACGAGCCATGCCTGGCCATAGTGGACACAGGCTGTCAGCGACAAGTGGCTGGCCGCCGGTGGCATGAGCTCCACTTGAACCACGTGCAGCTCCCCAGACTGTTTTTTCGTGGAAAATTGTGCTTTTCGTTTTGGTCCGAGCAAGAGTTCACGATCACGAGAGAGGTATGCATATCCTGCAGGTCTTGGAGGTCATTTTTGTGTGATGTTTTTCTCGTGTGTTGAAGAAGATGCACCTGCTTTGATGTCACGCCACACCATGACCACACTCGATGCCATCCCGGACATTTCAACGGGCAAGATGATTTATAGGGCTTTGGGCACCACTTCACAGCTGTATCTTTCTACTTGCGGTCACCTAGCAGTTCGCCTAGATGAATGGCCTGAAGAACTTCCAAGTTGGCCATGTCAGATGCCCTTGGACAAGAACGAGTTGCCTGATGTTTGGGCTCCGACTGCCACTCCGGTTCAAGCTCGACCACTTCCGAGTGCAAGACACCCTGCTGTGACACCACCCGGAGATGCCCGCTCCTCCTTCATGGCTGAGGCGCTGGCGTCAGCTGCTGGTCCACCTGTGGAACCTGGTGGTGACGGTGAGCAAGTCGGTGCTCCACTACGCTGCTTCGAGCTTGAAGCCACATCTGCGCGACGACATCATCAAGCACTACATGGCTCCCTGCACGGCGGCGACCATGCAGACCTCGATGGCAGCAATGGCAGCTCAGGCCAACATGCAGACCCTGACCTACCCGAGCAATCCATCGGAGTGCGAGCACCCCTCAGGCCTTCGAGCCTACGGGGCGGGAGGCCAGAGCGTTCGCATCTGCGACCAGTGCGGTTTCAGGGCAGTGATCCACAAGGGTCAGATGATCCGAGTGCAGCCCAAAGCAAGTCC